GGAGATTCCTCGAAACCCAACTTTTCTTGGTATTTCGAAGACTGTGAATCGCTCAAGTAAATGCTTTTTGATGCTGGACAACTCGTAGTTTCAGCACATACTTTCCTACTAAATGAATACAAACTTCAAATAATCTTTATAGACAATAGTTTAGGTTTATGCCAATTTCTATGGCATTCTCTTGAGCCATATTCTGGCCACGCCGAATATTTCACATTCCAGATTGTCTATTTGCCTCCAAGCAGATTGTGTCCTGTCAGTTGTCCAGACTTCCGACGAAGCACCGCAACCGAACAACCCAAATGAGGATAATCGAGCATCGAGGCTGCACTCAGCCGAGGCCCAGCACAGACTTTTCTAGTCAAGCAGTGGAGTGGAAGGCAGTGGAGTGAAACACTTTTCACTGGACCATTTGCCAAACGGACTCTAAAAATGAGCCATCTCTCACCTTGTACAGTTGACAACGCGAGGCAAGCCGAGTAGAATATGTGTTCATCAGCCAACTCATTCATCTTGGCTGCCCAGAAACGGAGAAGCATGGGGGAAAAACGGGGATAAATACCAGTTTTCGCCTAGACTGGAAGCCATTCTAAGTGTGTATTGAGCCGCAGTGTTCTACATCACTTGAACCCGCACTGTTTCTGTCCGTATTTTTTGCATACTTTTGATCCTACCGATACGGGTGGATGCTCCAGCCTAATGGGAGATTCTGGAGAGTGAAGGTATGCTAAATTCACGATGGTACGGCGTCACTTTTTAGGAAAAACTAAATGAAAAAGGGCAAAAAGGCATACCAATGAATGTGCATGAATTCAAATAAATAAATGCACATCTGGATAGACCAACAGACTGACATACAAACATACGCACCCAGTTAGTTAGTGACGTAAAGAAAGACAGATTGTAGACAAGCGGGCAGACGGAGACGAAGAGAATGTGCAGCCATGAGGACGACCATAGTCGCTGAGGGGGTGACGGCAAAGTAACTAACACGGACTGATGGGGAGGCTGTGTTATTCGAGACCTGCACACAGTGACACTGGGACTGTTTCCGTTTCAATTATCTACACACGCCTATCTGATCTCTTCGACTTGACTCCGGCAACTTATCATCTCTGCCGCGAAGGACCTCTTGTCAGGTGGGAAAGGTAGCCTGACCTCTGTCACTTGGTTGGTTCACCAGGTATGGAGCCACCAGTGCACAATGTGCTAGCTCGGTTTGATTCGTGCTCCAAAGGTGTGTGTGTGTGTGCGTACGTGTACTTGCGATCTTGCAGTCTCTATTCCCGTCCTCCACTGGTGGGTGCACATGTCACGAGCCGGAATTGAAATATTTTTAGGTCAGGGGGACTCTGCGTCGACTGAGCTGGAAGGCTGGGACTGACGACTCTTGGCCGGAATTCAAGCATCTGTCAGCCGCCTGTGGTTGTTGGGGCCAGATTTTGAAATACTGGCCCATGAAACAAGTAGTGCCCGCGTGAAGAGAGGCTTAGGCCGAGGAAAGAAGATAGGGGCAAGAACTGTCGTAGCGGAAGTACATCCGGTGACCTGACGTCAAATGTCATCAAGGCAGGAGCTGGCCTCTTGGATCTGTCTCCGCAACCTGACGTAACGGCAGTTGAAGTGAAAAAACGATTGCGTGTCTGCCTGAATCTAAAAATACATGCACACACACACACACACACACATTCAGACAAACAGACAAACACAAAGGTGTATCACGCATACCAACACATATGCACACATACAGAGAGACTAGCAGCTGAGGATTTGCACTAGTCCCATCAAGATTACCGCCTGACTGGCCAACAAAAGTCAGAAAGAGCAGAAGAATTTTGTTCTTCAGAAAAATTAGACTCTATGGTTGCAGTTTGATGGGGGAGTCGTTTGAGATCTGGGCATTGCCTCTTGCTGCCCACATCCGGATAGCTGGAAAATTTCCGTAAATAAGGGTCGGTTAGTCGAGAGACTACTTGAATGAATGAAGAGAATTCTTTTTTTTCTTTTTGCATAAACTCTTGGTTTCCTGCTGTTAAGCATTTGGCAATAGAAATAATGACGATCTACTGAAGAGGTCCAAGTA